GATCCCTTTGTCTTCCGTGTGGTGTCACCTCAGAATTAGCCCAAAGCTGTCACGAGCCTGAGCGAAGCTAACTCGTAAACGATTAAAAAGAAAAAAAATGGGGGCCACTCTATAGCTTTGTACTTTCATGTTATGTATCCCCCCCCCCCCAAAAAAAACCTCACCCTGCAAATGTCACCCGGGCTGCGAGTTTGAGAAGACTTGGCCAGAAAATGACAACAAAGTGACAAGTGGATTGATTAGCGCGTGCAAAAGATGAAAAATGTTTCAGACGCTTCAAGTGACGGAAATGGTCAAAAAAGATGACGAGACTCAACGGGGCGGCCGCAAAAGGTCCGTCGGGTGAGCGTGACTCGGCTGACATGAGAAAGAATTTGGGAGAAAAGCCGCGAAAAAGAAAATTTTTGCGTCACAACAAGGAGGGAAAAATTCAAGAGGGTCATGAAAAAGACGTCGCAAAAGAGCTCTTGAGAAGGTGAACAAAGTCTTGAAAAAGTTTTTTTTTTTTAACAGACGCTCCAAACAGGGCGAGGTTTAAAAATAGAAGAACGGAATGTACGTGCGCTGCAAAGCATCAGGAGCTTTTTTTTTTTTTTTTGAGGCTGAAGTTGCTCAGTGGTGTCTTGCCCGCCCCATGAAGGAAAACGAGTGTCGGCAAAACGGGCGGCGGTGCCGCCGGGTCGCTCCAGTCGAGCTGTCGGCGGGCAAATCACAACCGCGTGCGCGCGGACGACGCGGGTCGGCGGCGCGCGCGAGGCCTCGTCTCTCGGCGGCTGCGAGGATCAGACGCGGACGCGCTCAGAGTACTTTGTCACTCCTTTGGATTTCGCTTCACCGCGCATACACAGAGAGCGACAGAAAAGATCCGGATGTCCGGAGGTGAAGACGCTGAAAAGAAAGCCCGCAAAGCAAAGCGGTCGGGGTGCAGAGCCGGGAGGGTCGCCGTGACGCAAGGGTCCCGGGGAGCAGAAGCTCCCGGAAGACGGCCGCTTCCTTTGACAACCGCGGCACTTTGTCAGCCGCGTGTTTAACGGCCCGGACAGTCACGTCCAAATAAAGACGGCCATCTTGGAAACATCACGCCGCCTGAGGGGGCGAGGGGCGAGGGGGGGTTAGCCGTAGTTAACCTTCTGGCGATGAATACAAAACTATGGAGCGTGGGTGAGGGGGCGAGAGCAAAAGGGAGACTGTTTGGAGAGTGAGCGAGTGAGCGAGCGCAAGTATGTGAGCGCGCATGTGAGAGCGGGACTGATTTGGGTGTTTCTCGGGGCCCGGGAGCGAGCGCGAGGAGGCGTCGGAGCGCAAGTGCAGGTGGAGGCAACGAGGGCATGGCTGCAAGGCTGCCAGCGATGACTGAGTGAGAACGGCAGCGACAAGCAAGTCGGCGCATGCGAGAGCACAAAAAGCACACGCAAGTGCGTGTGTGAGGCTGCAATTACGTGTGCATGTTAGTTAGTGTGGATGCGAGAGCGCGAATAGCGCCGGCGTCGGCCACGTGAGGCCGAGAGCGCTCCCTGAGACGATGACCCATTGAGCGAGTACGCGCGTGCATGCGGGAGGCACGCAAGCGCATCTTTGCGGTGCGTGGCTGCGGTTGCCCTGGCAACCGCGGCCACCCATCCCGAAAGGCGAGCGAGCGAGCACGTGGCGAGCTGCGCCGCTCTCGCTAGCTCACCAAATGCAATGAGCAACGGACGCTCACGCTAAAGCTCGAGCAAAGCCACGAAGGGCGAAATGAAAAAAAGCCGAGATTCGTGCGCACTGACTTGTCAGAGCGTAGTTGGGGTTCTCCAGCTCCATCCGCTGAAGTTGCGCTCCCAGGTACACCTGCAAGCACAGGAAGTGACATCATCACACCCGCCAAAACAAGATTCGGTGGCGCCGACGTTTTGATTCCAAATTTTACCGCTGCCCAAATCTTTTGCACCCCCTCCCCGGCATTCGACAGCGCCCAACGTTTGGCGGCTGCGAAAGGCGAGGCCGCTCTCAAAATCTGACGCCGGCTGCGAACGCGAGCCGAGTCTTTTGCGCGGCGCGGTCGCATAGCGAGTCATCAAAAAGGCGCCTCGGAATTTTGGGCAGCTCCCGCAACTTTTTGCTGGGCCACGTTATGATTGGCGCCCCCCCCCCC